TATATATTGTTTGCAGGACATCCTGTAGTCTGACTTGGCTCTGTTGTTTAGGAGATTAGGTGTTCCTTTACTTTGTGATGCCGTTGAACCTGAAGGAGGTGTAAAATGGGATGTTTGCTCACAGCCCACCCCATCAGCCATTCTTCAGTGTCTTCTTTTCTCATCCTCCACTCTCTCTTCCTGCTGCAGCCTCTTCTCCCAGCAAAACGAGGAACAGATGTTAGAAATTTGACTTGTAAAAAAAAGAAAAAGATTTTTTTTTTATCTGAGCATTTTCTTTTGGATCACATTCAAGAGGCTGAACAAGGAGAAAAATTTCCCAGTTTTTTTTTCCCTTATCGGAAATATTTATACGTAGAATATTCCGTACCGTTTAACCAAGCCTGTTACTCTGTAGCACAGGGTTATTCTTATTGATCTTATGTCACGTCTCAACCTTAAAGCTTCTCTTTCGCACATCGTCTTTGTTTTCGATTGATTGTGAATAAGGAACTGCTGAGTCACTGTTGAGTCAGTTGCAGAAGGCTTTCCTTGTGATGCTGTTGTAATAAGGAAGCAAGCAAATTGGTAAATGGGCCATACGTACACAGCACCTTTACATCTGTGCTTTTTATCATTTCCCAGCATATGCTTCTATATGTGCATGCATTTTCTTTACAGTTGCACACGGATTAGCATTTTGAGGGCAACGTAAAGATTAATGTCAGGCCTCTGTAAAAATCACACATTGAAGAGCTGCAGACTAAATCATCACATTGGAAGACAAACATACTGTTACATCAGACAACTAAACTACAATAGAAACTGTGCAGTTTTCTAAAAGGTATTGACCAGAAATCCCTTTTTTCCTCACTTGATCTAAAGCTGGAGTGGCACCTGTTATTAATTAATCAAGCACTGTTAAAATTAAAACAACCAAGATTGTTTAATCATTGCAAGAGCCTTTTGTTTAAAACTGTTGGGTTACATTTACAGATGCTAATTAAACTTTTCTTTTTTTTACCAACCAAGAAAAACATTAAAGTGCCCATAACATCAAATTAGAACTATAAATACAAATGCTTTATTGAAAAGATAATAAATAACATCATGCAAGAAAAATCTATGATGCTGAGATGAACAGCTGTTGAGATTTTTGCGTAGCAGGAAGTGATGCATGTAAACAGAGCATTGCCATGGCTAATTCAGACAATAGTGAATAATCAGATGTTCCTTTAGATTATTTTGATTAATTATCAGAGATGAAGAAAAGTTGGAGTGCTTATAAACAAAGATCAGAGTTCCAGTTTTTAAAGAATTCCCTTTTGTCCTCACTTCCTGTTTCTTTTTAGCATCACTTCCTGTATTACATGGGCAATGCAAAGTAAAAAAGCCATTTAAAGGACTAAATAAGAAAAATGTGCAATATTTTTCATTTATTAAGACATTTTATTACACTTTGACTTGGAACAAGTCACACAACTCGTTCTGTTTATCTAAATGGTCTCCATTATCTCCGTCCCATCGCTCTGATGCTTCTTTTTGTTGAACTAGAAGAACTAGTACTCTTGTAGCTCCAGTGTTTCAGTCTGACAGCTGAAGCTTTGGTTGTCAAACAGTAAATAAACGGGTTCTAATTTAGGCTACACACACACACACACACACACACACACACACACACA